GCGAGTAGCTCGCTCGCACTCCTTATATACCCATGCGCGGGTTATGATTATGGGATATAAATGGTTAACTGCAAATAATTAAAGAGGACGCTCTAACCACCTCACTATTTCGCTACAATATACTTGGCCTTTTTATTTTTTGCTTATTTTGAAGCCTGTCCTTACATGTAGTTGATAACGTATTAGAGAGGTTTCATTGGCATACGGTTAGAGAGACGACGACATTTATCTATAAACGCAGTCGTATACTTTGTGCGTTTAGTGTTGGGCGTTTCGTGGGTGATCCCGGTTACGCTTAGAATGAGCTCTATAGAGGGCGCGTATCGGCGAGGGATTTAAAGTTGGCTGCGCCTAATCTCAACTTGATTGATTTGGCGATTGAAGACGAAGATGTTGAATTTATTCAACTTCTCCTTGCAAATGCAAGAAGAAAAGTGACCTACAACCCTGCATGGCCAAGGTTTAACTTAGCAGAATTGACAGATGATCAGTGTTTGGATAAGTTTCGATTTAAGAAAGATGATATTTATCGCCCGAGTAATTTACTTGGTGTTCCAGAGAGCATACAACTGAAAAATGATTCAACTTGCAATGGTATTGACACTGTCTGTGTATTGTTAAGGAGATTTGCTTATCCAAATCGGCTATCATACCTGGAAGAATTGTTCGGCAGACCCAAATCAACTCTATCACTGATTATTAACCAGCTTGTTGACTTTCTAAACACTTCTCATCACCATCGGTTCCTGTCCTTGGACAACCCATGGCTTGATGCGGCACACCTTCAGCTCTATGCAGACACAATACACAACAAAGGGGCGTCATTGCAAAATTGCATTGGTTTTGTGGATGGAACAGTTCGTCCAATCTGTAGGTCAACTCGTTTTCAGCGAGTTCGCTTTGACGGACACAGAAGAATCCATGCACTGAAATTCCAGTCTGTGATGATACCATGTGGTTTGATCACATCTCTATGGCCCAGTAGAGGGACTAAGGCATGACAGTGCACTTCTCCGTATCAGTGGATTGATGGAACAGTTTGAGGCAAGGGATTTCACGGATAGGAATGGTATCCCCTATGCACTTTATGGAGACACGGCGTATCCTCTCCGACGCTACCTGGCAAGTCCTTTCAGAGGGGCAAACCTGAGAGCTGAAGAAGAAGAATTTAACACTAGAATGTCATCAGTGCGAGAATGCGTGGAGTGGGAATTTTGAAAGATGTTGACAATCTTCGCCTTCCTTGACTTTCGCAAGAATTTGAAAGTTCTATTGTCCCCAGTTGCCAAGTACTACCTTGTTGGAGGTCTTCTTAACTGCCACACTTGTTTGTATGGAAATCAGACAAGCAAGTTTTTCCAACTGGAGCCACCTTCCCTGGAGGACTATCTAGCGTGATATGCATAGCCCCAGTATGCCCAGGCAGTGTTGCTGACCAATCAGCTATCAGATGAACTTGCAATTTAAGATCAGACCATTGCTCACTGTTCAAGAAACTGTTGATTTATCAGTTTAATTCACAAAGTTGATCTTTTAACAAGTCTAGTCACAAGTGACTGGATGATTAGTGACAAAGAAATGCTTGTTGTGGGAGTTAATTTGAATGGCTTTATGAATAGGCTAGCTTGATTTGAGACCGAATGTTAAACTTCAATCCAATGTTTGAACCAAGGGATTCTTCAGATTAAGTGTTGTGTCTTAAATTGCAACAGGATTGTCATTTGGTAAGTTTAAATACTGTGTGTGGCCAACTACATTTATTAAGTCAAGACTTTGATGTTAGATTTCCCAAGGATGTCAATTCTCAATGTACAGGTATATAGTTAACATATACATCTAAATTTATTCAAAACAATAATTATGCACAACATGAAATTGCAGGGGTAATATCTAATAGTGAAAATGTCCCTCAATGCAGAACTTGTCCCATGACCATAAAACGGCAAAATTCATCAATCATACAAGATTTATCTTACAATTAAATTTCCTGACAAATTCTTATTTTACACGGTCAAATTCCTTTATACGAATTACTCAATATTTGCAATGTTCAATCATCTATTCAATTCACGTTATAAAACTGTCAGTTTCTTGCACACCTTTCTTCATATAAAACAGTTCTAGAATCCTTGATTTGCCGGTCAATTCTCCACGCTCAATGTTAAAACGTCTAACCACACAATCCATCCGCACTGTGGAGGATATATAGTAAATTTGCCAGAGTTACTTCAAACTGCAATTCCTTTTAATATCTAGACAAGTCAAACAATTTACACGTTTATGACCAAAATATCACAATACCACAAGTAGTTTACCACAAGGGTGGCACTTAAACAGCAAAAATCAGTAAATTTCCCACGACGTGTGACTTTTAAAGAGGTGCAACAAACCAAATAAATCCAATATCTTGAACTTTCAATCCTATTCACAAGATAAGGCCAAACGAAAGGGAATCAAAAAAATTATCAGAATGTTATACAACAATAAGAAACTATTTATGTAGGGGAGATTTGCAGTGGTGCTCATCACAGTTACGGTAGTTCCACACCCATCGTCCAGATCGCCAAGGCTAGTTGGATCTCAAGAGCAGGACGACGCTGTGGAGAGCCGCCTGTAGTTTCATCTACACAGGTTCGGGAACAGCGAGGCTTCACTCTACCAATGGAGTTCCCAGTAGCTAAAGACTCTCTCCAAGCTTCACAGATTAACTGGCATTAGGGATCCGCTGATCCATGTACTTCATACAAGGACGATCTACAATAGAAAATCATCAAACTATGCCTTGCCAAAACGAGTACAACTCTGTCAAGATGGCACATTAAATCAATTCCAAACAATTAAAATAGAAAACGATAAGATATAACTTACGACTGCCGTTATTCCGCCGACATATGCTTGTCTGAGCCACCCCGAAGACTTCACAGAGCCTCAATCATCTGTGCCAATAGCCAAGGGACGGCACAAGCTAACCAAAATGGCTAAGTCAGCATAAATCAGAACACCGTGTTCCCTCTACCGCAACATGTAGCAAATCTCAGACCACACCCTGTTTAATAAATTCTTATATACATTCACACCCACATTCAGCGAGTGCCAAAGGTGCACTCATGCACGCCCCTGCATTCCAAAGCTGGGCTAGGGCTAACACAAAGGTGAACTAAGTTAATACAAAACTACAATGGCCAACAGCAATCATGGTCCTGCCATGGAAAAGACTATAAAAAATGGTTACTCTGATTCAGCTGTGACAAATCTGAAATGACCAAAATTACATGTAAACCTTGTCTCTTTTATTTACAAGACTTGCATCTCACTGAGCAAACTGTTTAGCTCTCCTTATTCTTTCCCTTAACCAATGCCATCATCATCTTAAACATTTCGTTTTCTCTTTCCAGCCTTAATTCTCTCTCCCTTTTTTCCAACTGAAATTTCTGTTGTTCAAGATCCAGCTTCTATTGAAGATACTTGATGTAGCTGTCAGTAGTCTCAGTACCTGCACGCTTCCTTTTTCGTTGGGTGGTCGCTTCTTTGTCTGTAAGAAATGAGCCATGAGCAGCATGATCAAGGTGAAGGGATGAAGACATGTGAACTACTGTACATGTACAACT